CTAAATATAAAAAGAATTTTAAGAAGTTTCTGCTGTATAGCACAGGGAACTATGTCCAATGTCTTGTAATAACCTTTAATGAAAATAATATGAAAATGAATATATTTATGTATATGCATGACTGGGACATTGTGCTGTACACCAGAAACTGACACATAGTAACAGATGGTACTTCAGTTTAAATAAATAAATAAATAAATAAATAAATAAATAAAATTTTAAAAAAGGGAAACAAACTCATTTAAAATTGCATCAAAAAGAATAAAATGTCTAGGAATAAATTTAACCAAGGTAGTGAAAGATCTATACTCTGAAACCTGTAAGACACTGATGAAAGAAATTTACAGTGACATAAATGCAGACATTCCATGGTCATGGATTAGAGGAATAAATATTGTTGAAATATCCATGCTACGCAATGCAATCCCTATCAAAATTCTAATGGCATTTTACACAGAAATAGTAAAAACAATCCTAAAATTTGTATAGAACCTCAATGGACATGAAAAGCCTAAGCAATCCTGAGAAAGAAGACCAAAGTTGGAGGCATCACACTTCTTGATTTCACACTATACTACAATGCTATACTAATCAAAACAGTGTAGTATTGTCATAAAATGAGACACATAGATCAGTGGAACAAAATAGACTAGACATGAACCCATGTATGTATTATCAATTAATCTACAATAAAGGATAGGGAAAAGGCAGTCTCTTCAATAAATGGTGCTAGGAAAACTGTACAGCCACATGCAAAAGAATGAAACTGGACCCCTAACTATCTCACACCTTACACAAAAATCAACTCAAAATGGATTAAAGACTTCAACATAAGACCTCAAACCATAAAGCTCCTAGAAGAAAACACAGGCAGTAAGCTCCTTGACATTGGTCTCGGTGATAATTTTTTTGGATTTAACACCTAAAGCAAAGGCAACAAATGCAAAAATCACAGTAAAAAGCTTCTGTACAGCAAAGAAAATCATCAAATGAAAAGGCAACATACAGAGAAAATATTTGCAAATCATGTTATATGATAAGGGGTTAGTATTCAAAATAGATAAAGAACTCATAACTCAAAAACAAAAATACCTAAACAATCAGATTAAAAGATGGACAACTTGAATAGACATTTTCCTAAAGGCAACCTACAGATGGTCAATAGGTATATGAAAAGATTCTCAACATAACTAATCACCAGGGAAATGCAAATCAAAACTACAATGAGATATGACCTCACACCTGACAGAATGGCTATCATAAAAAAGACAAGAGGTAAATGTGGGCAAGGATGTAGATAAAAGGAAACCCTTATATACTGTTGGTGGGAATGTAAATTGGTGCAGCTGCTATGGAAAACAGTATAGACATTCCTCAAAAAATTAAAAGCAGAAGTATATATGATCCAGCAATCCCACTTCTGGGCATATATCCGAAGGAAATATACTCATGATCAAAGAGCTGTCTGCATTCCCATGTTCATTGCAGCATTATTCACAATAGCCAGTATATGGAAACATCCTAAGTGTTCATCTACAGATGAACAGACAGTGTTTATATGGATATCTATCTCCATAAATGAATATTATGCAGCCATGAGAGAGACCTTGAGGGCATTATGCTAAGTGAAATAAGTCAAACAGAGAAAGAGATACTTTATGATATCACTTATATATGGAATCTAAAAAAACTGAACGCATAGAAAAAGAATAGAAAAGTGGTTGCCAGGGTTTGGGGGCTGCAGAAGTTGGGGAGATGTTAATCAAAGGGTACAAACTTTCAGTTATAAGATGAGTAAGTTCTGGGGGTGTTATCTACAGCACACCCATTATAGTTAACAATATTTTATTATATATTTTTTAATTGTTAAGAAAATTAATCTTAAATGTTCTCACTACAAAAAAAAGGAATGGTAATTACATGAGGTGGTAGAGCTGTTAACTAACCCTACTGTGGTAATCCAGTATATTTAAGTAGCAAATCATGATGTACACTTTAAATTTACATACTTTTATATTCCAATTATATCTCAATAAAGCTGGGGGGAAAAATAGGCAAAGGTGGACTTGCATAGACACTTCTCCAAAGATGATATATAAATGACCAATAAGCTCACGAAAAAGTGCTCAACTATCACTAATCAGTAGAGAATGCAAATCAAAACTGCAATGAGATACAGCCTCACACTCATTAGGATGGTTATTGTCAACAAATGGAAAATAACAAGCATTGGTCTAGTTGTGGAGAAACTGGAACCCTTGTTCATTACTGGGGACAATGTAACTGGTACAGCGCTGTGGAAAAAAGTATGACCCCTCAAAAAGTTCAACATAAAATTACCATATGATCTAGCAAATCTAATTCTAGGTACGTACCCCCAAAAATTGAAATCAGGGACTTGAGCAGGTATTTGTGTACTAATATTCACAGCAGCATTAATCACAATAGTGATCACTGACACATGGATGAATCTTGAAAACATTCCGCTCAGTGAAACAAACTAGACACAAAAGGACAAATATTATATGAGTTCACTTCTAGGAGGTACCCAGTACAGACAAACTCATAAGGACAGAGAATAGTGGTTGCCAGAGGTTGAAGGAAGAGGGGAATAGGATATTGTTTAATGTGCAGCGTTTCAACTTGGGATGATGAAACAGTTTGGAAGATGGACAGTGATGACAGCTGAACAACATTATGAATGTACCTAATGTACTTAAAGACACTGCACTGCCCACTTAGCATTTGCCAAGAGCCATTCACATCACTTCCAACTGTATAAAGTGAAAATGAAAGTATTATATATTATATAAAAGTATGACACCAAAAATATTTTTGTAATTTTTAAGTGTATATTGTTACTCGGTTGTAACTAGTACCCAACTGTATTTTATGACATTTATAACACACTAAAACATTTTTATAGGAAAAGCTTTATATTTTAGGTCCTTTAATGACATGTTTTTCCCTGCTTTTTTGCAAAGGACCTCTGCACTTTCATTTTAATTGCCGCCCCCTCCCCAATTATGCAGCTGGTCCTGAGCCCCAGCTTTCACCACTGAATAGTTTGTTGGACCGAGTAATTTAACCTTTGTATCTTGATTTTCTCACCTCTCAAATGGGAATGACAATTATCCTCCTTCGTAAAACTGATGTGAAATTAAAACTACACACACACAACAGGGGTTTGAATAATTATATGTACTTTTAAATATTGGTGGCAGTGTTGCTGTTCATAGGAAATATTGTTAACCACTCCCCTTCCTGGAGTCTGAATCTTTAGACAAATGCATTTCTTATCTAATATGAAGACATTTAATTCATTCTTTTCTGTGGGCTTTCCAGACTTTTGAGAGAGAAGCTAATGGACTCATTTGGTTCATAAAAGTATCAATTTTGTGGACTAGTGATTTCATAGATGGAATTTATTTCTTTATATGACTAAAAACAAAGTATAAACTGAAGGTGATGCCAAAACACTAGACTTCAGGCAACAGTCTTAAAACCTAAAGTTTCAAATAGTGTTTCTGATAAACTCTCTGACTTTTAAGCAAATCAATGCAAGAAAAACACTAGGAGCGCTGAGCTCCCCGAGGACTATTCCAGGGCAATCTGTAGGTAACAGATGCTGCTGAGAGGAAATAAAAATACTGCTGTAAATACAGAGGCAAAAATCCCCCAGCACTAGGATGGCTACAATTAGGAGCTCTGCCAGATTAGAACTGAGTCTGAGAGCCAAGTAGGGACCCAAGGCAGAAGCTGGGGTCCTAAATCTGAACACCACCTTCACACACACTTGGAGTACACTGAGCACACTCGATAATACCCAGACCATTGGTACACATATCACTGCTGACCCTCCATCACTGGGGTTTTCCTGAGCCCTTTATGTATCTGCCTGAATCTTCCAGAGACCTGGCTTAGGAGTGAGGCTAGGTCCTTTGCGTCAAGAGGCTGGTCCTGGGGGAACAAACTTGTAACTAATCCATAGGTTAACCTGCTGGTTGGGGGTAGAATTCTAATTGTTCCACAGCCCAAGCCTCCTAGAAGCTGGCTAACATCTTCTTCTTCCAAGGCTGTGGAATCCACTCTGCAGTCTTCTCTCTCACTGGCCATCCGACGACAGGCCCTCCTACTGCCTAACCTTTGCCCTTTCTAATTGCCCTGATCTCATCCCAACCTCCAGAGCTATGTTTAAAGTCCACCTCTGGGGAGCACACAGATTGAATGTTCCAGATATCCCTTCCCCAGTCCTGCTTGGCATCTGGCCCGGTGGGCTATGTACCCGGACTTCCCGGGACACTGGCTGGCGTTTGAGGAGAGACCTCGGTGCCTACCTGGTTCCAGGATGACGCGGGCCATCAGCTTCTTGATTTTGTGGCTCAGCCTGGGGGGTAGCCTGGCTCAGAGTGACAGCAGCCCTGATGCAGAGGAGTCCTATTCAGACTGGGGCCTTCGGCACATCCGGGGCAGCTTTGAATCTGTCAACAGCTACTTCGATTCCTTTCTGGAACTGCTGGGAGGGAAAAATGGAGTCTGTCAGTACAGATGCCGATATGGTGAGTACATGGTTTCTCTGCCTGTAAAACTATCACTGGTGGACCTGTGATCAGCTGGAGCAGGGCCACAATCGGTCACGTACTTTTTCTTGTTATCTACCACAGAGAGGGGTGCCAGATTCACCAAATAAAAATATAGGATGCCCAGTGAAATTTGAATTTCAAATCAACGACCAATCCTATGTTAAAAATATTTGAGATATTCGGGACACACTTATGGTGATAAATTACTGGTTGCTTATCTGAAATGTAAATGTCACTGAACTTCCTGTATTTTACCTGGCAAAGCTCCTCCAAGGAGCTTTGGAGGACTTGCCCCCTGCGGCCATTTTAATGGGTTTGCTGTGAGACAGGTACTGAGGATATAGGTGGCCAGGGTAGGGAGAAAGAATTTGAGATGTCTTTGTGAGGTGATCCCAGGGCTGAACACTGAAGCTGAACATTCAGGGGAAATTCTGAGCTTCCTCCGTCCCTCAGTGCCTAGCTCAGAAGTGGATTCTCCTTTTTCCCTAATGCTGTTCACACCTTCCTTCCAGCTCTGATCAATTTGCCTGACTTCCCAGAGAGAGAGTGCCTGTGGGGCCTCAATCAGCAACAGCTGGCCTTGAGGGGTAGGCTGGGCGTCGGCAGCCACCTCTGTGTGGTGTCAGAGGGTTTCGGAGGGTGTCGGAGTCAGATGTAACACGGTTGGTGGGCAGGAGCACCTTGGTGCCTGAGCTGTAAGAGGGTACCTGGGAGCCAGGGTGCCCGCCTGGCTGCAAAAGAACGGACCGTGGGGCCCACTCTTCCTTCACTCTGCGCGGGACGTCAGTAGTGGGAGCAGAAGCCGAGCCCTGGACCTTGCAGCTGGGAGGCAAGGGGCAGTGACTTCAAACGCAATTGGAAATGTTTTCCAAAGCAAACACAGTCTCCTATAGCTTTAGTATCATTATTTGGTTTATCAAGTGTTTCATAACAGGATTAGAGATGAAAATGGTGAGTCAGTTTAGCCTAGCAGAAAAACACTTGAGAAATATTTCCTCCAGACACTCGATAAAACTCAGCTTGGAGAGAGACTCAAAAGAGCTACATACTTGCTAGATTCAGCCAGTCTCCCACTCCCTTTTTACCTCTGAGCAGGGGAAGTCAGCCCCTTTATAAAGGACAGTGAGGAGACAATGTTTAACCATTGCTTCAGAACCAAAAGTTTTGCAGCATCGAAATTTTAACCACAAAGGGATATGGCGAAAAAAGCTGAAGATTAGAGGGTCAATCTGTGCTAGGACCCACCCGGATTGCTAGCCATGTCTTTGTGCAAAGTGTGTTGGACAGATGCAGAGATGCCTAGTCTCAGGGACCTGTGCTCACCTAGTTTGCATGGATGGGGCAGTGAAGAGTTAACTCACTTCAGCTCTTTGATCAACACAGGTGCTGTTTTCCTCCCTAGAGGCAACACAAGACTTGGGTCTAAGGTTTAGCAAACAGATAACAGCAAGACTTTTTTTCTTAAGGGGAACTAAGCATCAAACCTCCTTCTCTAGCCAAAGAGCACTGAACGATTTCATCAAATTTTGGTTGCAAGCCTCCACCTGGGCAGGTCGATGCAACAGCCACGGGTGGGGGACAGGAATAGTCAACAGAGAGACTGCAGGGATGCAAATAGCTCCACACACTCTGCAAAACAGAACCAGTCCAAGGAGGGGCCTGAAAAACACGTAGGAAACAGGGGGTTAGGCCTTGTTACCTTTGGAACCGTGCGGAGCTGAGAACCTGGAGGCTGTTTGCACAGGGTCTCTTCTCAAGTTGACTGTG